AAACAAGGGGCAGTATCTACTAGAGCTCACAGATCTTATGTCAGGAGAAGTAAAGAATAGCCAAGTCCAAGGTTCCTTTTTCTCTCTCGTCTGGTGTCAGGGTTAGACTCAAGGTTTATCTTTTCCTTGAGGTCTCAGCTAAGGCATGGAGGATTGGCCCAAAGAGAAAAAGTTATCTTCATTTCTAGAGACAAGATTTGATCCTGAGAAACATTAAGTACTGAGAGGACTTCACTGGCCCCTGAAGTTATATGTCTCAGTAGACAAAAGAGCCAACCTTAGAATGTAACTCTGTTTCCTTTGTGGAAGCTGGAAGACACGGGCTCACATGGAGAGCCCTCTAATGGCCTCTTTCCTTGCTCAGATAGGGGCAAAGATAAGAGAAAAGAGGAAATGTTTTCAGCATACTTACCTTCAGATTGGAAAATAGGCAATTGTTGGATACTCCATATTAATAATAATTTGTATGTCTACATCAATTATCTCACAACAGCCCTATGAGATGGATGATATGCTTTGTTATGATTAAATCCATTTCATACATGGGGAAACCAAAGCTCTAAGAGGTTAGATAATTGCTCAATAATACTTGGTGTAAGAAAATATTTGAACCAGGGTCCATTATGACTAAAAATTCCCAGAGAGCAGGGACTGGTTTTTGCCTTTCTTTTTATCCTTGGCATTTAGCACAGTGCCCGGCTGGCACACAGTAAGTAATTAATAAATGTATGTTGGTAACTTGCCTTGATTCCAAACCCAGTCCTCTGTTCAGTGTCACATGTTCCAGAAAAATGTACATTGTTAGAAGTTTTTCTCTTGAAAGTCACAAATAGAGATGTCATAGGAATTATACCCCATTCTTGTCTCTAGAGAGTAGAGATCTCATAATCATACTGGAAAGAATTAATGTAAGAATGAATGGTAGGGTCTACCTACGTTCTACATAGGGTGTATCAGCAAGCTAGTTGATAGTACCTAGGGTCTGGAGGACGTGGGGAGGACTTTAAGAAGCAGTGGTAGGGAAAATGATAAGTTCTAGATCCTCCTCATCCAAAGAATTAGAGTTAATGTCAGCCAGTTCTTCCAAGTGGTTTGAGCGGCCAGGTAGGGGCTGTGTGGCTTGAAGTTAAGAGAAAGGAAAAGGAGAGGAGAGGGGAAGGACATCCTCAATGCTGGATTTTCTTACCATCCCGCTTCCTCATAGGTGTCTGTACTATCCAAGGTTGGGAAAGGGTACAAGGAGGAGACAAGGGAAAGGGATCCCTCATTTACAGAAAATGAAAAATGTGTGATAAATGTCTCTGATCAATATTCTCCTTCTGTGACTCATCTGACACTCTTGTCGTTCAATTGATTCAGTCATGTCCAACTCTTCACGACCTCATTTGGGGTTTTCTTGGCAAAGATACTAGATTGGTTGGCCATTTCCTTCTCCAGCCATTTTATAGATGAGGAACAGAGGTAAGCAGGATTAGCTTGCTCAGGGTCACACGGCTAGTAAGTGTCTGAGGCCAGATTTGAACTCAGGACGATTATTCCTGACTCTTGGTCTGACACTCTATCCACTGAACCAACTATCTGCTCGCTTGACACTTTAAAAGGAGAAGGATAACCATTCATCTATAGTTATTCCCAGAAAGTAGATAACTACTCCAAAATACAAATTTTCCCTATAGGATATTGAATAAACCTAAGCCCATATTTATAGTGATTCTCTTATAAGATAACTAATTTGTATTCATCACTGAAGGATCTCAAAAGAGGACATGAACACAAAAATGACTTTGGTATGTGACAGTGAGGCAATGTGTTACAAAGAAACCTAGTCTGTGAGTCAAAAGACCCGGGTTCTATTCCCCTTCCTATCACTAATTAGCTGTTGCCTTCTCAGAAGAGATGGGAGAACTTAATTAAATGTGGTACAGTGAATATTGTTAAGATGACCCTTATCATTACAAAATGTTCTATAAGACACATTACTAAATTGTAGATGAGCCAAAGTGAGCTTTGTCATTTTTAACACAATGATGGCAGAGATTCCCTGGTGTTTGCTCTATAAAGCTATTTCCCAGCTCTTTCTTCCTCTTGTGATACAATTCTCGAGATGAATAGCACTAAAAATGCTCTTATGCCTTGTTTCTTGGAGCAGGAAAGAATAGGATTGAAATTTTGCCCTTGGCCTTTTTTTTTTTTAAATATTTAAAATTTTCTGAAATGAGAACAATTCTATACTTAGCAAATGCATCTAAAAGCAACAGGTCATATTAGAAGCACTTTCTTTGCCCCATAATTCTATCAGAGGGTTTATACTGCACTAGAGATAGACCTTAGAGTTACTGTACCCTATAGATAGCACTCTTTCTTTTTGCTTTCACTCGTAGCCTGAGGTGGAAAACCCTGAATATCAGGAAAAGGGGGCCAGGATGGTAACAATTCCTGTGGAAAGGTGCTTAGGACATTGGCCACAATGTAAGAGATAAGACTGTAACTGTCTTTTAAAAAGATGATAGAATCTCCTTTTCCCACTCTTGATACCTACTAGCTGTATGAGCTTGGGCTTAATCTCCGTGGGCCTCAGTTTCCCTCATCTGAGCCTGAATAAAGTGTATAAAATACTTTGCAAAATTTTGTCATGCAAATATAGGTAGTAATGATTACAATTGTTATTATTGTCAGTGAAATGGAGAGGATAGTACTAGATACCACTGCCGTAGTGGGGAAGAGCCTAGATGTGACTGGAGTCAGGACTTGGGTTTGAATCCTGGTTGTTACCATCTGCCTGGGTGACCTTGGGCATGTCACCTTCCTTCTGTGGGCTTCTGTTTCCTCACTAATAAAATGAGGGGGTCAGAGTAGATTAATTAATCAGTCAATAAACATTTGTTAAACACTAAAAAAAAATTAAAAGATAATAGATTTTCAAACTTCATCAATCAGACCACATGTAAAGTACTTGGTTGAGTTCTGGACACTATATTATAAGAGATAAGCTAACCACGTAAAGCAGAGGGCAACTGGGATGGTGAAGCTTTGGGAACAATGCCATGGGCGTTATCTTCAGAATTTGAAGGACCAGCCCATGAATGAGGATTTGATTTTTTTCTGTGTTGCCCCATAAGACACAGCAAGAACTTATGGGTTGAAGTCACAGGGAGGCAGAGTTAGGTCCACAAGAAGAGCCTTCCTAACAAGTAGACATGTTCAGGAATGAATCAGGCTAGCTCTTGAGGTAGGAAGCCCCCCAGCCCCAGACATCTGTGAGAAGAGGCCAAACCTGAGGAGAATTTTATAGGGGAACTTGTCCATTGAGCAGGAAGTTGTATTAGATGATGTCTGAGATTCCTTCCAAGTCTAAAATGTTAGGATTCTAGAATTCTAAGCTTTCCTAAACCACAAGAACTTGGTGCATTAGGAATCAGGAAGAGCCCTGAATTTTATTCCTGGCAGCCGTTGGAGCCAGGAAGATTTAGGCCTCAAGGCCTCATCTCACACATACTCCTGTGTGACCCTGAACTTAACCTCTCAGGGCTCCAGGAATCTCCCTAAGAATATAATGTAGAGAGAAGGTGTCAGGCTGCATTTGGAAATGGAGGTCTCACTGGAAGCTGCCTGCACCAGTGAAATCATAGATCCAAGCCCCAGTCCAATCAGTCTCCTACTAATTAAATGTATGACCTTAGACAGATCACTTATCCTCTCTGGCCCTCTATTCCCTCATCTCAGCATGACATAGTGGATAGAGAGGTAACTCTGGGGCAGAAAGAACTAGGTTGAGTTTCCGTCTGTGACCCTGGGCAACTCATTCAGGGCCCAGGAAATTTGTTGACTGCTAACTGAATATGATAAATGGACAGGCACAATCCCTGTCAAGCACCCATAGCAATGCAGTCATAGGGAGATCAGAAAGAGTTAATGTGCTTATACCAGGAAAATTACTTAGGAGCTGGAAAGAATTTTGGAAGGATAGTCATATAAGGTTGTCATTATGGCCTGCATTTTGGAAGCAGATAAAGTCCAGTCGTGAATGTGTACATAAAAGATACCAGGGACAAGTGAGGGGTTATCACCAACAAGGTCATGTTCAAACTGTAGTCTGTTCAATGTTCCTTCATATTGCATCTTGCCTAATGGAGAACTTGGGTCTCTGTCTCTAGAGCTTGACTTTGGACAAGGGGGTTAAAAAGGTCCTGAGAAACACACACTTCCCATGAGGAACCAGCATTTTGCCAAAAATACATCTTTCCATAGAGACTTTCAACCTCATCATATAGGTAGGCAGGTTTAGAGCTCTGGGCTTAGAGGCAAGAAGACCAGAGTTCAGATTGGCTTCAGCTACTTACTACATGTGTGACCGCTGTCTGCCTCAGTTTCTTCCACTGTTAGAAAGGGGTAATAAACGCTCTACCTCACAGAACTGTTTTGCGAATCAAATGAGATATTTGTAAAGCACAAGTAAGCACTACATAAATGCATTATTATCATTAATCACAAATCATCAGGACTGGAAAAGGTCAACCATTCCAACCTCCTCATTTAACAGATAAGGATGTCTACGCCCCAAGAAGACAAGTGATTACTAACCCAATGTTCCTTAGTGACAGAAGTGGACCCTGGCCCTGCCTCTCCCATGTCTCAGACTAGTACTAGTTTCACTTTCTCTCATTAAACTGTGAGTTCCTTGAGAGCAGGAACTGGTAGAGTTTTGCTGTTGTTTCTTTTGTTTTGTTTTTCTTTTTTGTTTCACCTCTTGCCTTTCTTTCTATCCCAAATGCTTAGCACAATGCCCAGCACATAGTAGGTGCCTAATAAATGCTCATTGACTATCTTACCCACCAGTTGGTTCAAATTGATGCAGACTAGGAGAGGGGAGGATTTTCACCAAAAGGAAAAAAAAAAAAGGAAAAGCTTGAATTGTATTGTTGCACATGCAAGAGTACCAAGAAAAGATGTCTTCTTTTTGCATTTCCTTCCCTTTACGTGTATTTCTTCTGTCCCACCAGGCCCCCAATAGAAGACAGTCAGACTCTTTTGACCCCAGTGGTGAGTTGCGGGCCTCCTGGAGCCCTATTGACTCGACCTGTTATTCTTAGCATGCATCACTGTGCAGAGCCTGAAACGGAGCGGGACTGGAAGATCCAGCTGAAAACTCAGACCCCACAGGGACACTGGGAGGTGAGTTCTGACTGACCCCTGAGAGCTTCTTCATGTGCACAGAAGAATAAAGTTCTCAGGGAGTGCTTGGGGAAACCATCTATTTCATTCTTAAGGCCAAAAAGAAGGTTTACTTGAGAGAAAAATTTTGTTCTGAAGTGACGTGTTACTTATGCCTCACTCCAGTCTGAATGGACAGGATATTGCATCATTGGCCTATCCTGTCCATCTTTTTTGACATTAGGCCTGGGGACCTGGGTGGTAAATTGTCTTCTTAGCATTTTTCAATAGGAGGAATGGTGAGCAATACCTTTGCTGGTGGTCTCACATGGTTGTCATTTTCTTATTCTACTTGGTGAGGGTAATGCAACTCTCTTTGAGATCTACCATTAACTGAGTCACAGGCCAAGATATTATGGGGATCTACACTCATTCCCTTTGTCTTGAATGACACATGACACAAAGTTGTCTTTGCATTACTTAATGATGCATTTGTATATAAATAGAAGAAAGACATTATAGGAGAAAAATAATGCAAAAACTTTGAACACTTTGAAAGTATCAATCCTGAAATCCATTTTCAAAAGAGAGGGAAGGCTTGTGGCGTTATTCTGAGAAGGGGAAACTGAAATCAGAAATGGATGTAACAGAGAATCCCTGGTATCCAAATTTTCTTGAGTGACTTTTAACATGTTAAGTTTTGAGCTTTATTCTAAATATTTAGGGAAGAAAGGAGAAGAAAAGGAAGAGACAAGCCTACAAGTAAATGCCTACTGTGTGGTAGGTTCCATGCTAAGTGCTTTTTGAATATCTCACATGATCTCTGCTTAATTTACATCAGAAATGTTCTTTTAGATTAATAATGGAAATTTTTACATTTTAATAGTAGTTTTAATAACATAGAGGATAAGGATTGGATTTCATTGGTATAGGTGAGGAAATTCTCTCTACCTATAAGGCAGCACCTTATGCAATTTATATTCCTAAAGAGTTGGCCAGAGCACTAGAATTTACTTGTCCAGAGCCACACAGCCAGTGTATGTTAGAATCAGGACCTAAATCCGGGTCTTTGGGATTTTAAATCTGTCTCTCTCTTCACTAAGTCAGAGGCACCAAAAGTATACAACTAGAACAACATTAAAATATAAGCAGGAAATATTTAACAAAATAAATAAAAAGAAAAAGAAAATAGACAATAGGTGATTTTCAGCGTCAATATGTGGCCCCCAGGGATCCTTAGTGGCCCCTGTTTCTATTGGAGTTTGACACCTCAGCTCTAGAGCAGAGTGGCCATCTACTGAATATTGCAGGTAAATCCCCTTCTTGTTCTTAGAATTGTGGCCTCTCTAAACCCGCAGCACGAAAACACAGCTTGGCTTGGTGGGTTGGTTGGTTTTCTGTTTGTTTTTGTTTGTTTGTTTGTTGGCTTTTTCTTACATCACCCCGCTGCATCATACTGAATTTACAGTCAGCTGGAACCCCCAGATCTTTTTCAGACAAATTGCTGCCTTCCCCTCCGGTACTTCTGAAACTGATTTTTGGTACCCAGAGCTAGATTTAACATTTATCTCTGTTGAACTTGATCTTATTAGATTCAGTCTAGTGGTCTAACCTGATAAGATCTTTTGGATCCTGACTTCCTCATCCAGCAGTTCAACTATCCATTATGGCTTTGTGCCATCAGAATATACAAGCTTCCTGTGCCTTTATCCAAGTTATTACTAAAAACTAAAAAAGTAGCAAAACCAAAAACAGCTCAGGCCAAGCATATAGGTTGTGAACATATGCCCTGGTTGTCCAGGACACTTCACCAGCAGCCTCCTGATGAACCATTGACAACTATTCCAAGAGTCTTCCCATTCAACCAAATGCATCTTTCTATTGTTGTCCAGTCTGAATTTCTGCAAGACTAGCAAGAGATGGGGCAGCTAGGTGGTTCAGTGGATAGAGCACTGGCCCTGGAGTCAGGACAACCTGAGTTCAAATCTGACCTCAGACCAGGCATTTGATACTTACTAGCTGTGTGACCCTGGGCAAGTCACTTAACCCCAATTGCCTTTAAAAAAAAAAGAATAGTATGAGGTATTATCAAGCACTTTCTGAAGTCCTAGATAAACTATATCTATACCCTATTGAAAAAGGAAAGGCTAGTCAGTCCTGACCTATTTTTTCATTTTCCAGATTTTCACTAACCATCTCTTTAAAGTTCCTTCTAGAATTTTCCAAAGAATTGAAGTCAAGCATCTCGGCCTGCTGTTTGTGAACTATTTTTTCCCCTTTTTCTAAAAAACAGGAAAACACCTGACCTCTACCAGTGTCTCTTCCTTTGTCCTTAAGCTTGTAAAAATTGCTAACAGTGGCTCAAGTAATCATAATCCCCAGTTCTTTTAGAAATTGTGTGTGTGTATATGTATGTATGTATGTATGTATGTATGTATACACATAAGTGTGTATATATCTATTTTTTTTTTTTTGCAAATCTAAGATGGTTCATGAGTTCCTTTTTCACCCACTATGGACTCTTGGGACAAATACTCTTTTTCCTCCCCATCAGAATTATTTCCCTTTTTATCTTCAGAATTTCATTCTTGAGACTTCCCCATCCCTCCTGGCCTGACTTCCCCTGAAGAGTTTCAGTCCATGGGTCCCTATCTATCCATCCTTGATACCCTGTGAAATTTACTCTCTCAAAATCTAGGCTGCACGTCACACTTTCCTTCTCTCTCACAAACTCTAGGAACAAGTGATAGTTTTCCCTTAAAGGTTTCCATCATATTTCTCTCTATTATTGATAATCAAATACAGGACAGAATTTCCTCTTGTTGGTTCTTCTACCCTTTGAAGGTTGAAATTATCATTAAAATAAGTCAAGAAGTAATTAGCTGCTCTGCTATTGCAGTGAGAAAGTGCTCCAGTGGATATCCGGATAACTGAAGTCCCCCATCTCTACTGTATAATGTGTCTGTCCTAGATGTGTGATCTTATCAGGTCCTCTTAATTTAATTATCATCTTTATGCAAATGACTACTAGTTATATATATTCATCCCTAGTTTCTCTCTTGGACTCCAATTGCGTCCAATTACTGATTGGGCATTACAAACTTGAAGTCCCATGGGCATCTCCAACTTAGCATGCCCAAAAGAGTCCTCCCAAATCTCAAGTCCATTCTGGATTTCCCTTTTTCTGTAGAGTATGCTACTATCATTCCAGACACCCAGCATTACAGCCTTGATCTTATCCTTGACTCTTCATTCTCCCTGGTTTTAAATATACAATCAGTTGCCAAATATTATAACTTCTGCCACCAAAACATCTCTTGCATCCATCCCCTTGTCTTTGTTCCCATGGCCACTGCCCTAATTCAGGCCCTCTCTCCCAGTCTATTGCAATAACCTCATAATTCGTCTCCCTGCCTTAAGCCCTGGTGAACTCTAATCCATCTTTCATACAGCTGCAAAAGTGATTTTTCTAAAACACACGCCTGCCCATGTCATTCCCCTCCTCAATAAAATCCAGTTGTTCCCTCTTGTACTTCAGATCAAATATAAACTCTTCTGGTAGGCTTTTAAGGTCTTTAACTACCTAGCCCCAACCTACCTTTCTAGCTTTGTTATACCTTAGTCTCCTTCCTGTCCTCCTCCCTGCAATCCCATCAGTATACACAAAACAGACGGACATGCCAGTCCTTCAAATATCTGAAGGCAACAATCCCACTCTACCCACACATTTCCCCCCTCTATCCTGCCTTCTGTATTTCTTTCAACCAAATGGCCTGATGGCATGGGCTTGAGTCCCCTCACTAGAGGCTGCCCTCCTATGGAAATAGTGTCAGAATTCTTCCTAAAATATGGTGCCTAGAAGTAGCCACAATACTCTAGAAATGAAAATAATATTCCGCATGTGGTGTTACAAGGGCTGAGAACAGTAGAAGCATAGAAACCCTTGCTCTGGATGCTACACTTTTAGTCGTTAAGCTTAAGGTCACTTTAGCTTTTATTGCTGTCATCAATCGATCAATGAACAAGCATTTATTAAGTGCCTATTATTATGTGCTGGGCACTGGGCTAGGTGCTGGGGATAAAAGGCAAGTGGTTCTTGTCCTCAAAGAACATTCTGAAAGAAGAGGGAGCATGTGCATATATTAGTGACAAAATAAATCCAAGGTAATTTGTTTGGGAGAGGAGGAAGGACCCTAGCAGCTAAGAGGAAACAAAAAAGATCGCATGCAGAAGGGGGTGCTTGAGCTGGGTTTGGAAGTAAAGGATAGATTCCATGAGGTGGAGGTGAGAAGAGACCACATTCCAGACCCAGAGGATAGCCAGTGCAAAGGCACAAAGATAGAGAGGAGAGACGGAGTATCCTGGTTGAAAAAGAGCAAAAAGGGGCATTGGCCTTGAATTTAGTCCAGGAATCTAGTCCTTTTATTAAGGGGATTTGTTCGGTGAAGTTTGGATTCAGTCAAAGAGCCACACTTGAGGGTCTAGAGGGCCACATGTGGCCTTGAGGCCACAGGTTCCCCACTCCTGGACTAAGATGAGGTCTTTTCTACCTCTGGTTTTGTGATCCTGTGATTGGGTTTAACTGAGCTTCCTCAGGTCAAGGCAGTACAGCTTTTGAATGCACCCACATTCTAGGGTGGCTAGAACACAGGCTAAGGCATCCAGCACACCCAGGTGAACTTTCTGCTTCAGTCCACTCTTCCTGGGATGGCCAAGGGGAATAAGAGCCAGAGAGTTGGAATGAGAAGCTACAGAAAAAGAGGCTGAAATCTTCATGCTTTGCTGCCTGACTCGGTGACCTCTAGACTTTATGTAGAATACACCTTCCCTCTAGTAGCATCCTGAGGTGTGGCTCCTCTGCTTAAGTTCTTAAAATGCTATCATTCCTTCCTAAACATCCTTTTGGCTAGGAGGAGACAGGAAGAATAGAAATTTATTCTTTCTCATCTTCTTTCCTTCCCTGGAGTCTTCAAATTCAGGCACTATTTAAAGAGTATGGTCACCAGTTATTCTTACTTTTGCTCCTGCTTCCTAGTATTTTTGCTTAGATTAAATATGTACCTTTCTGTATGAAGCAAGCATTGATTTTTTTTTTATGATGTTCAATAATTACTAAATGCCCACTCTGTCTAAGGTACCGTGTTAAATTTTGGAGATGCAAGGATAATTAAAATTCTCCCTAACCTCAAGGACATTGCATTCTACTAAGGAAATGCAGCATATATAATCGCAGGATAATTTAAGGAGTGACAGAGCATTGTGTGTGGGAGAGTGAGGATAGAAGAATGAGTAAATACTTCATGGAGGAGATGGTAACTGATCTGAACCTTGAAAGGAGATAGACGTCTCAGTGGCAGAGATGAGGAAGGAGTAAAATCTAGCAATACAATCCACCTTCATTGTAATCTAGGAAAAGTCATTGCTGAATGTTCTGAAGATAGCATGTATTGAGTGTTCTGAGACAGCAGTGGCTAATTTGCATAAAACAGGGCAGTTGTGCATTTTATAGACATAATTGGTTTTTAACAAGTATTGGAGAGAATAGACTTTGCTCTCTGGTACCACTTGTTGCTGAGAAGAATAGAAAAGAAGGTAGAAGAGAAGATAAAAGACATTTCTCTGCAATATAACAATTTTTGCTGAGAGGTAGAAAAGAGAAAAATCTTGCTAAAAACAGTAGAGCTTTTTTTTTAATCAATATTATAAGAAAGGTAACATTGTTTCAGCTGAAGGCATCACCTAAGCCTAAAGTCAGAAGTGATGGACACTACAGCTACCTTTGAGGAGCAAGTCTAGATAAGCAATGGAACAGCATAGAAGTGAAGCATCTGAGCAGTTCAGCATATCGGCTTATCCAGTGAAACGCTCTGTCTGGTGAGATGCCAGCTCAGCTTAGCAACGGAGGCGTTTGTTCACATGGAAGCTGTGCTTACCAAGGAACTTTTGTTTCTGAAACGGAAGAAAGATAACAAATTTTATAGTTTTAGAGTCGTGAGTTGCTCTTGATAAATGTATTCATTGCATCTGTGGTTTACTACCCTGGGACTACTAGCTTGTGTTTCCATACTCCCTATGGACACCGCGTGCATTTGTGGGAGATTGGGTCCAGGTTTATCAATGGAATATAATTGGTATACAGTTGCTTTCCATTCTCAGTAAATGCTTGGTTAATGTTAATTTTTATTGGTGGCCAATCTGTTAATGGAAAATATATCAGTAGGAACTGATGGACTATGGTATTAGTAGGAGTGATTATCCCCACACAAGAGTTACCCCTTAAGACCCTGAGAGTATTGATTATACAGCCACATTCCATCTGGGAGAACCCCAATATCACTGAGTAGCGGCATATTGAAAGGAAATGAGTCATATAGAGAGAAAGAGTGAATGTAGCCTGAATGAAAAAGATGGTGGGAGATGGAAATTAGTGTACATTATACACCACATTGTGGGCGGCTCATACAAGCCAGAAGTAGAAAACGAGGAGAAGCTTGTTTGGCTGTGCTATAGCATAAATCGTTAGAATAAAGATGTACTATCAAATGTGTCAGAATAAAACGCAAGGGTCATATAACTGTTGTGGGGGAAAAGAAAACAACAACAACAACAACAAATAATTGTTCTTTTCATTACCTTCATAATATACTGAGCTCTGTGATACCTACTAAGAACTTTCCAATCCTTTTTGGAAATGTGTGTGATGTAAATTATAAATATCTAAATGAAGAAATAAATAAAGAAAGAAACTCCTTTCTCTTTTGGAACAGCTCTCCAACAGATGGTTGTATTGCCATCAGCGTATAACCCTTGCCAAAAGCCACACAAATGTTCGTGGCCCAACCAGCAGATAGCCACCTCAGGTGGCTGTTTTTTCTGTGCCTCTCTCCAGTCATGAAGCCTGAACCAGTTTACTAAAAAAAAAAAAATTTAAAAAAAAACTAATGGATCCCAGTTCTTAGCCTCCAAGCCTCATACAGATCATCTGCTATGCAGCTTAAGGCAGCTGAGATTAAAACAGAATTTGCAGAGCCTGGTCCTGCTCCCAGCTGCTTTTACAATACATCTCCCCCATTTATTTCCATTTTTCTCCAGGTAATTTGAAAGACTTCACACCACGTGCAGAGCCTGAAGTGTCAGATGGGGAATTAATTGAGAGCCTTTATCCCTCTGAGCATATGGAAGGTGGTTTAAAAGCATGCAGTTTTGACATATACCATTTCCCCTACAGTCCTATTGGCAGGATTATTTGGGAAGGGCAATATGGAGTTTTGGACACTGTGTGTGTGTGTGTGTGTGTGTGTGTGTTTGTGTGTGTGTGTGTGTTTGTTGAAGAAAAGGAAGTATTGGACAATATCTGCTATTTTTCCAAATCCTAGCACTTGCACAAATATATTCAACTCATAACAATGCCATATACTAATAGTATTTCTCATGAAGAAACAAGAAACTATCAAAAATGACTCAGGATCTGGAAGATTGGTTCAAAAATCAATCATGGTAGAAATAATTAACTTATTATTTTGTCAGGTTTTTTGTTAATTTTATATTCGTGTGTATATGTGAAAATATATATACACATATATGTATATGTGTGTATGTGTATATATGGATATGCATACATATTATATATATATTGTGTTGTATGTGTGTGTGTGTGTGTGTATATATATATATATATATATATATATATATATATGAATACACACAACATATGTATGTATACAAACACAATACTGTTTATGTACCATAGCCTATATTGAGCTATTCTGATTGATTAGTGGGTGGGTGAGTGAGTGAAAACTCCCCTAACCCTCTATATCTAACTGGCCTCAGGCCATACTTTGTACTTCATCTGGCCATCCAGAAGGAAATCTAGGCCTATCTAGCTCAAATATTTTGTAATCTGTCTGGTAATGGGTGGGTGTCCCCCCGAACCCACACTAATTATCAGTTTCCTAGACACTACTCATCTGTATGTGTTTTCTACCCTAAACTCCTTGGGCGCCAGGATGGCCTCATTTTATATATCTTTCCAGTACAAAGAGGTCAGGTCCAGGTATATAAAGTATATTGCAGCTTTTCTCTGACTCCCGTAGCCAAAGGAGAACTAGAATATGGACTTCCTAACTGCTCTGGTCAGTGCTACATCATGAGTTTGCAGTATTTTCTTCAGCTGTGCCTGTTTTCTCATTCTCCCTCAGGATGTGGTAGTGGTTGGAGAGGAAAATTTCACCACCCCATGCTACATTCAGCTGGACCTAGAAGCTTGCCACATCCTCACAGAGACACTGAGCACATACGCCTTGGTTGGACAGTCCACCACCAAAGCCGCAGCAAAGCGCCTAAAACTCGCCATCTTTGGGCCACTGTCTTGTTCATCTTTGGAATACAGCATGCGAGTCTACTGTCTGGATGACACACAGGATGCGCTCAAGGTAAGTAACTCATCAAGTAAACAGTCATTTTTAGTTAGTTTGTTTTCCAATCCATTCTACTCTATTTAATTCAAAAATATTTGTTAGCAGGTGCTGTGAGAGATGTTGGGATACCAAGAAAACTACTACAAAACACTCAGATAAAATAGATGGACATAAATAATTACTATATATGAGAGAAAGTAATTATACACTCATTAGAATGTAAACTCCTTGCAAATAGGAATTGTTTCATTTGTGTGCCTTTGTAACCCCAGCACCCACCCAGCACCAGACCTGGCATATTGTGGGCATTTCAGGAGTGCTGTAAGGAGAGACACTATGAGAAATCTGAAGAAGGACAAGTAGGATCAGGGTGAGTCAGGGAAGGCTTCCTTCATGAGCATGCAATTAGATCGTACCATGTAGTCAACAACTTTTTCTTTGTCTTATTCATTTGTAAGCTTTCTGCAACATTCAGCCCTCTAGACTCCCTCTTCCTGAATACTCTCTTCTCTCCTGGTTTCCATGGAATCATTCCCCTCCTGCTTCATCTTCTGTGTGAATATTCTTTACTAACTCAGTGTTCCTCTTCTATGCCCTAAATGAGGGTGTCGGTTCAGTTCAATTCACTAAACAAAATGCTGTTCTCAGCCCTCTTTGTCTTCCTTCTCACTTAGTGATATTATTTGCTCCCACGAATTCAGCCGTGTCTTTATGTAGATGATGCCCAGAACTCTATTTCCAGCTCTCGCCTCTTCACTGAGATCTACCAGTCCCATAGGTCTGGGCTGGTGCTCGGGCACATTCTACCAGCATATCAAACTCAGTGTATCCAGAACTGAAGGCACCATCTTCTTTTGATGCTTCTCCCGGATTCCCTACTTATGTTCATGGTAGTAATAACTGGTATGGCAGTAATAACTGCTAGGAAATCATCAGAATGCTTTACATGTGTAACTTCACTTTCTCCTAATAACATCTCTGGGAGTTAAATGTTACTGTTATTATCCCAATTCCACATAAGAGGAAGCTAATGGGTTAATTTACTTGCCTAGAGTGGTCATTTGCTCTTCATACCTTGGGGGACTCTTTGACTCTTCCAACATCTACCACCTTTTCCCCTAACATGTAATCACTTGCTATGTCCTGTTAATTTTATCTCTACAATGACCTTGTCATTCTCTCATTCTCTTCCTTCTCTGCTCATGTTGCTACCACTCTAATTCAGACTCTCATCTCCTTTCATTTAGATTATGATAACAGCATCTAACTAGCCTTCTGGCTCCCTTTCTTGAAGTATCTCCCCTCTCCAGTACATCTTTCACATGGCTGCCAACATGATCATCCAAATGGAAAGGTGTGGCCATGTTACTCTCCTGCTCAAAAATTTTCCCTGGCTCCCTATTACTTATGAGATAAAATGTAAGTTCCTTAGCCTAACCTTTAAGATGCTCTACAGTCTGGCAACAACCTACCTTATTTCACATTGCTCTTATTCATCCAATTATATAAGCTGTTCCCCGAGTTCAATATACTTCTGGATTTTCACAGGCCATCCCCCATGTCTGGAATCCACTCCTTCCTTTCCTCTGTTAAATGAAATGCTTGCCTTCCTTCATGGTTCAGCATGGGTGTCATCTCTGCAAGGAAGCCTTCCCTGTTGTTCTCAGGTGAAAATGTTCATTGGCTTTCATGAAAGAATGGACCATAGGGGCCAACTAATCCGACTGCCTCATATAGCAGGAAAAAAACAGAAGTTCAAAGAGCTTGTGATTTTGTCTAAGATCTAATTGGTAGTAAATGGAGAAACCTGAATTCAAATACGGATCTTTGATTCCAACTCCAAAGCTCTTTCTTCTCCCTCCTGAAGTTTTCTTGGAGAGTTCTTTACTTGGGGATTGTCTTTGACCCCTTCATTCATTCATTCATTCATTCATTCATTCATTCATCCATCCAACATATATATTAAGCATCTGGTATGTACTGGGTATTGTACAAAAACAAATTATCCTTTTTTCCGTGAGCTTATTTCTCTTGGGGGAGAGAGTGGTGTATGCAAAATGTACAGAGGTAAGGAAAAGCAAAATGTGTACAAAATTCTTTGGGAGGGGGGCACAAACAACTAGGTGGAACTGGTTAGGCCTACTAAGGAAGTGGCATAGGAGCCGAGCTTTGAAGAAAGTTAAGGTTTCTATCAAGTGAAAGTAGGGCAGGAATGCATTCCAATTATACACTTCATGCAAAGGAGATGGACTGTGTCATGTGCACACAAATAGTAGGGAGGCCAATGTGGCTGAAATATCAAGACTGACAGGACTGATGCAATCAGCATAAAAAAGTAGGTTGGATCCAGACCATGAAGGTATTTAAATGCCAAAAGTCAAATTTGTATTTTATACTAAAGATAATAGGGAGACATCAAAGATTCTAGACTCTGTTCTCCCTTGGCCATGTGGTCCCTGTTGTTCTGTTGACCCCAGCTTACTGGCCACTCCCATCTAGATCCTCCTTAGACCCCTCCTCCAGTTACCCCAAACTACTTGGCCACTCTTAGATCCCTCCCCTAGTCTTTCTGTATATAAAGTACATCTGGCCTCCATTAAGGTGCTCAGATTCCTTAAGAGTCTGCCCAGAAGACAGATGCTCTAATAAACCTTGTCTTTGGCTGGGGAAAAAAACAAAACAAACAAAAAAACCAAGGCAATGACACGGCCACATTCCTACTTTAGGAATGCCAATTTAGTAGCTCTACGGAGGAGGAGTGGGCAAGGGGAGAGACTGAATGCAAGGAGACAAATTAGAAGATTGTTACAATGGTCTAGACAAGAAGTGATCTAGATGGAGCCTGAACTAGGTTGGTTTTAGTGTGAGTAGAGAAAAGGGAATGGATATGGGAGGTGTCAGAGATAAAATTAATAAGGTATGGCAACAGATTGGATATAGAGACATCTAGGTGGCACGGTGATAGAGTGGCAGACTTGTGGAAGACCTGAGTTCAAATCCTGCTTCAGACACTCTCTAAGGGGGTGACCTTGGTCAAATCACTAACCTCTCTGTGCCTCAGTTTCTTCATCTGTAAGATGGTAATGATAATAATAACACCTACCTCCCAGGGTTGTTTTAAGGATCTGAGTTAATAAATGTAAGGCATTTTCAAACTTTAAAGCACTATATAAGTGCTAGCTATTATCGTTATAGAAGGTGGTAAGTGAAAGCAAAAAAGCCTAGGATATTACCAAGACTGGGAATCTTGGTGACTAGAAGGATAGTAGTGCTTTTAAAATAAATAAATAAATTAGGTGGAAGGGAGAGTTTTTTTGGTCAAAAAAGATGATGAATTCTGTTTTGGACATGTTTGAGTGTGCCATTCCTTTGAAAAATCCATTTAGAAATATCTAGCAAGTAATATGGGACTGAAGCTCAGGAGAGAGTTTATGTTGGATTGCAACATAATACGCTGTTATACTTGTTATATTCCACATTTCCCTACTAAATTGTATGCTCCTAGAAAGGACAGGCTAGAACTCCATTTTTATATCCTCATTAACTAACTTAACACATTGAATGTTATTATTATTAATTATCATTAGTTTGGTTCTGTGATTTCCTTTGTGTAAGGAATTCTTAGCTAAATGCACACTAGCATTTGCTGTATAGTATATAATCATAGAGGGTTACCTTGGAAACTCAAAGATTAATTGATTTAGGCAGGATCAAAAAGCCAGTTTGTGGCAAAGGGGAGACTTGAATTCAGGTCATTTTTTACTCCACAGTGGGTTCTCTATCCACAGAGTACTGCCGTATCTTCATCTTGCATATAGTGAACTATTAATAAATGTTTCTTGATATGAATTTAATTAAAGTAAAATAAAAATGGAGGAGCACATTCCTAACACGAGAACACGGAAAATGGTGTGAGTTCAGACATGAAGACCACAGTGACAAGAGTGCTCCAGTTTGTCTGGAGTAGACAAAGTATGAGTAGTTGAAGATAAGACTGAAAGATGGGTTGGGGCCAGGTTGGCAGAAAATAAGAAGTTTGAGTTTGTTGTGGTACCTAGAGGAATGTGTATCTGTAGCTAATCTGCATGTTGTCTAAAAATGACATGTTAAATTAACATAGCAAGGGTTTCCCTTTTCACCCATCAAATTGACAAATACAAAAAGTGACCAGTATTGGAGGGTTTATTTCCACAGGGAATCAGGCAGACTAGGCTACTACTGCTGGAGCTGTGAAATGGTTCAACCATTCCAGAGAGCAATTTGGAAGTAGGTTACAGAAGTGATTAAATTGTTCACACCCTTTGACCTAGCATTATCACTACTGAATACGTACTCCCCTCAAGAAGGTAAATGATGGAAAGTATAGTCCCACACATACCAAAATTTTCAGAGCAGCACTTTTTTGTGGTGGCAAATACTTGAATCAAGATGGGTCTTCATCAGTTGGGGAATGGACAGAAAAAAAAATTGCATTATATGAATGCTATGGAATGTTATCTTGCCGTAAGATAAGAGGAATTTAGAGAAATGTGGGAAAATGTATATCAACAAATGCAAAGTGAAGAAAGCAGGACCAATGAAAAAGTATTCACAATGGTTACTGTAATGTAAATGAAAACAACCTCATAGGTACTTAAATGCACTTTGATCGATTGGCTGACTAGAATTCAGGTTACGTTTGGTATCTACTTGTGGTTTCAGAGAACTGATGTTGGAATACGCTTCCCTCTGAGTAGAAAGGTGAGGGACTGTGGGTACAGATTATTACATATTATTTTTGTGCCAGTTTCTTTAACTTTATTGCTTTTATTCTAATGGGGAAGGGAAGAGGAAGTGATGGAGTTATAACCAAAAAAAATCCAAATATATTTATATATATATATATATACACACACACATATATACATATATATGTATATATATATACATATATATGTATATATATACATATATATGTATGTATGTATATATTTTTTTAATTAGATGTTCCACAAGAAGCATGAAATTCTCATGGA